TGTGTGTGAGTGGGAGAGGGGCAGAGAGAGAATCCTAAGCAGGCTCCGCACTGTGTGCTCAGAGCCCGATGCCAGGGCTCAAACCAATGAACTGTGAGATTGTGACCTGAGCCGAGATCAAGAGTTGGAAGCTTACTGACTGAGCCCCCCAGGCGCCCCTCCAGAGAGCTACTTGTTAAGCATCTGCTAGCACGCTCCCATTCAGGGATGGGCCTTGGTTCTGGTGGTCCTAAGTAGGTGTGTTGGCAGTCTCTGGGGGTGCAGGTGTCCACTCAGATCCCCCTGCTCTCCAGGGTTTCATCCTCTTGCCCAAGACAGAGTGCGACGTCCAGGAAGTAGAGTTTGCCCGATGTCTGCGGCTTCGCCAGACCTCCCTGGAGCCCGTTGCCTTCCGTCTACCCCGAGTCAGGGTGAGGTTGGGGGCCTGACACCCCAACACCTAGTCCTCCTTCCCAGTACCTGTAATTTTTCTTTTAATCTTTATATACATATATTTATTTTTGGAGAGCGAGAGAATACGTGAGCAGGGGAGGGACAGAGAGAGAGAGAGTCACAGAATTCAAAGCAGGCTCCAGGCTCTAAGCTGTCAGCACAGAGTCCAACGCAGGGCTTGAACTCACGAACCGTGAGATCATGACCTGAGCTGAAGTCGGACGCTTAACTGACTGAGCCACCCAGGCGCCTCCCCACCCCCACCAGTCCCCATAAAAGGGGCTTTGGGGCCCGACTGGCCCTGTCACCAAACTATCCCACTCACTGCTCTTTGGGGTGCCTGTTCCCTTATTCTGCTGAGATTCTGAAACTGGCAGAAACCCCAGAGTGGGCCCCGGATCTTACCTTACCCCCTTCCGAAGGGATGCTGATGCACCTTGGGCCTCTGGTAGGTGCCCCAGGGTAGCCCCTTTGTTCTTCCCTACAGAAAGAGTTCTTCCAGGATGATGTGTTCCCAGACACGGCCATGAGCTGGGAGCCGGTGCTCAGTGCGAAGGCCTGGCTGGGAGGTGCTAATGGGCAGCCCCGGCTGATCAGCCTACAGCCCCCCGGCATGACCCCAGGTAGGCTGAGGAGCTGGGGGGGTGGCAAGTAGGAAGCAGGGAAGTGAGTGGGGGGGGGGGGAGGGCTGGAGAAGGGGTCGAAAGGTCAAGTCCAAGATTTCCCCCCCCATCTCCCTGTCACACAGAAACCTCTGATGTTTCCAAGGATGGGGTGTTTGCATTTCCAGGCTCATACTCTGAGCCTTTCGAGGGCAGGGCCCAGGGTTTGTGTTTCCATCACAGTTCCCACTCCTGATGTGCACACATACGCTACATGGTGCCCACGGCAGCCTTGTGAGCAGAGGGTGGGGCAGCTGTTATTACCCTCTCTGGGGTCTCCGCCACAGGATTCCCTAGGGAATGGCACCAAAGGGTTGGGCAAGGAGTCCTCACCGAGGGGATTCTCTGATGTCTGATGCCTGTCCCCTCCCTACCCCAGTGAGCCAGGCACCCCGTGAAGCCCCTGCCCGTCGGGCCCCGTCTTCAGCACTGTACCTGGAAGAGAAGTCAGATGAGCAAAAGAAGGAAGAGGTAGGTAGGCATGGGAGGGGGTTGACCAGTATGGCGCACACAGAGTCCTGGCCGTACCTAATGACTGCCCTTCGGTTGTCTGTCCGACCCAGGCTGGGACAGGAGCCAGGGTCGCACACCTCTCTTGATTGGGCAGCTTACTGGGGGAGACCTTCCAGAGCCCTGAAGTGGACCCATGGGGCACAGGACTCAGGAATCCAGGGAAGGGCAGAAGGAGGCCCCCCTCTGGCCTGGCCCATCCCAAACAGAGCCAAGGGTTTGGGACCCAAGTGCATTTGGGGCCCTGGTGCACATCTGAGCATCTGAGGCAGTGTGCAGACTCCAGTGCTGCGTGGCACAGAGTCTGTCTCTGGCTCCCTAATATTGGTCGAAGTGTATTTTTTTGTGAAAACCATCCCCTTTGTCAGGGCTCTGATGAAAATGGCTCTTTCACACCCTTGACCGGGTTCAAAACTGTGAAGGCCTGTGTTCCTGGGGTTAGCGGTCCTATTCTATTCCCTTGCCACCTCTTCTTCTGTCCACTCTTCTAGCTGCTCAGTGCCATGGTGGCAAAGCTGGGGAACCGCGAGGACCCGCTCCCTCAGGACTCCTTTGAAGGTGTGGACGAGGACGAGTGGGTGAGTAGATGAGGGCCCTGGCATCCCCTCCGTCCCTCCCTCACCCTGCAGCCTGCGACACCCCCCTTCTCAGACCTCTCAACTCCCTCCGACTTGGTTTATCTCCCCAGGACTAGACTGCCCACCAGCCACCTCTGGCCTCACCTGCTGCCGCCACCTCCCAGAACCACCTGATGTGCCCGCTGCGCACCTCCGGTCTCCCCCTCAAACTGGAAGATGCCTCGTGGCCCTGGCACACCTCCTCCCCAAAGCCCTGACTTCCTTTGGGCCTTGGGCACTTCCAAGGCCTCTAGGTCCCGCTGCAACTCCCATGGATTGTCTGCACCTCTGCTTTCCCTGGGACTGGCTGCTTCTCCTCAGCTGCCTGCTAGCATGTGGAGCCAGGGGCATGGGAGCGCGGTGGGCTGGGAGTGCTGAGGGGTTAGTAGACGTCCCTGGGCTGGTCCCAACCTGGGCTGGCTTTGCCCAGCACCTTAACTTATCACGGGCAACATCCCATCTTGCCTGCTGCCCCCACTTCCAGGTAAGAGCCTTGGGGGCTGGCCCCCTGCCAGGCCGTTTGGCACAGCACCAGCCTCACGGGCCAGGGACCAGTTGCCCTCCTCCCCAGGTTTGAAACCAGGAGAAGGGGGACATCACAGAGCTGATGGCCCAGTTAAGGGCGGGGTGTGAGCCCCTCAGGGACTGGCCTGAATATACCCTGGATGTTTTCAGCAATTAAACTTTTCTGAGCTGGCTACCTCTTGTGCTGCTGTGGTCTCTTGCTGACTGCGAGAGTTCGGGGACAGGAGTATGGGTGAAGGCGGTTTGGCCCTGGGTTCCCCCTTGTTCCAGGCCTCACTTTGCTCCTCAGGCCTTTTCAGCTGCTATGAGTTGGTTCATTCATCCAACACATAGATATCCAACAGTGGTCTGGATGGTAGATACGGTAAGGGACAGAAGAGACCAGGCCTCTCAAGGCACTTGTCATTGTCCTCCTGTGCAGGGGAGCCAGACTGTGTGCAAGTAAGAAAACTGTGAAGAGAGACATAAAGAAGACAAATTAGGGGCACCTGGCTGGTGTAGTTGGTAAAGTGTGCGACTCTTAACCTCGGGGTTGCGTGTTTGAGCCCCATGTTGCACATAGAGATTACTTAACCACAAATATATACATAAGGAAGACAAATTATGTGAAACAGAGCAGCAGAGATACAGACGAAGCAGGGTGTTCAGTCTGAGAGGTGACCTTTATGCTGAGAGCTGAGACCTGAAGGTCAGTGAGCCACAGAACCATGAGAATGTTTCAGACGAAAGTCAGGTGGCCACAGCACTGAGGGAAGAAAGAATTTGAAGAGTTGGAGGAAAGGAAAGGGCAGTGGTCCGGGACATAGCACAAGGCAGTCTGACTTAACGTTCATTGAACAACCATGTGTTGGATACCTTCCATGTGCCAGCCACCCTTCTGGGTGCTGAAGTTCAAGAGTGGGGAAAAGAGAAAAGTCCTGCCCACCAGGGATCCACATTCTAGTTGCGGGAACAAGTTATAAACAATAAACATAAAGTACATGAATTATGCCTGGGTGGCTCAATCGGTTAACCGGCTGACTTCAGCTCAGGTTGTGATCTCACAGTTGCTGAGTTCAAGCCTCAAGGCCAGCTCTGTGCTGCCAGCTCAGAGCCTGAAGCCTGCTTGGGATTCTGTGTCTCCCTCTCTGCCCCTCTCCCACTCCTGTTCTGTCTCTCTCTCTCTCTCTCTCAAAATAAAAAAAAAAAAAAAAAAATTTTTTTTAAGATGATTAAGAACTTCCGGGAAAAAAAATAGAGGGGACCAAGAATGGTAGTTTAAGTCAGACACAAAAAGCCACATATAGTTGGATTCTCTTTCCAGGAGATGTTCAGAACAGACAAATCCATAGGGACGGAACAAAGATTAGCGGTGGCCAGGCGCAGGGGGATGGGGCAGGGGCATTGGTTGCTAATGCGCAGGAATTTTTTTGAGGGGTTGATGAAAATGTTGTGGTGTCCTTGTGGTGATGGTTGCACAACTCTGTGACTATACTAAAAAGCACGGAATTGTGCACTTTAAATTTTTTTTTTCAACGTTTATTTATTTTTGGGACAGAGAGAGACAGAGCATGAACGGGGGAGGGGCAGAGAGAGAGGGAGACACAGAATCGGAAACAGGCTCCAGGCTCTGAGCCATCAGCCCAGAGCCCGACGCGGGGCTCGAACTCACGGACCGCGAGATCGTGACCTGGCTGAAGTCGGACGCTTAACCGACTGCGCCACCCAGGCGCCCCGGAATTGTGCACTTTAAAATAGTGAATTGGATGGTGTGTGGATTTTATTTCAATAAAGCTGTTACTATAAAACAATGCAGGACAAGGTTCAGCGTTGGTAGGGGATCGGGGTGGGCCTTGTTGAGAAGATGACACTTGAGCAAGAACTTGAAGGAGGGGGCAGTGAGAGGTCCTTCCCAGAGTAGAGGGACCCTAGCATGAAACTTATTTTGAAGTTTCCTGTTTTCTTATGTATTTGTGAGACTTTGGCATCCTACTCTTTATGTTCGTGGGGTGTCGTATGTTTATTGCATATCTTTTAGTACCAAATATTTTGGCAAAATCAAGGGAAGAAATTGCTCCGCATTTGACAGATGTATTTATTCTGTGGCATCTGGCACAGCGGGTAAGGGCGAAGGGCCGGGGCGAGGGCCAGGGTGAGTCCTGGGACCGCCCATCGCCCGCCCATCGTCCGTCCCCGGTAGTCTTGCGAACCGGAGCCCGGGGCCGACTCCGCCTCTGGTTCCGCCTACGGATTACGTCAAGGCACACCCCGCCTTCCGGAGGGAACAGTACGCATGCTTTATGCGGCGTCACGCACGCGCTCTCTCCCTTGACCTCTGACCCGCCGGCCGCCCTTGAGCTGGGGGCCGCGGGGCCAGGAAGCAGCGGCTCACGACCCCGAGGCAGAGCGGCCACCATGGTGAGGCCCGAGATGGGCGCTGCCCGGGGGCGGGGGGGCCGTTTCGGAGCCGGGTCAGGGGCGGCGAGCTGCGGCCGGGCTGCGGGAGCCGCGCGCCGCCTCGTGCCGGACGGGAAGCGGGGTCCGGGGGCGTCGTACCGGGAGGACCGCTACGGGCGCTGGCGGCCTCGGGGCGACGGAGAGTCGTTTGGCCGGAAAGCAGGGAGGGCCTGGCCTGCCGCAGAATGCCCAGCAAGTGCGGTCGTGGGCTCCAGCCCTTGAGCGCACAGTCCCAGCGGGAGGCTAGGGCCGACCCGCGAGCCCCTGCTTGGCCCCGCAGGTAGTTGGTGGTGTCGCCCTATTATCGTTCCCCTTTCGCAGCTGACCAAACGCTCTCCGAGACTTTGCCAAGGAAGTGGCAGAGCTAGGGCTTGAACCAGGCCCCTCGACACCGAAAACTGAGCGTTTCTGCGGTACCATTGGCGCTTGGAGCCAATCCACAGACCTGGGCCACACTGGCTGCGACGGGTGCACCTGAAGACCCTATAAAAATGCATGGTCCTGAGCTCTGCCCTCGGAGGTTCTGTCAGTTCCCCAAGGGATTGAGGCAGTCAGTTTGGGGAACCATTTCTTACTATTAAGGATAAGGAAGCGGCTTGCAAGTGCCAGGCCCTGAGCTGAGGCCTTACGTGGGTTCTCTCGTGTAATGCTTATGAAGTTCGTACTGTCATTGTCCGCATTTCACAGCTAAGGAACCTGAATTTCAGAGTTAGATTCCTCTAGGGTCATTCATGCAGCAGTGTCTGGTTTTGAGCCCGGTTACTGCCATTTTTTGAGGACCCACAACGAACGGTTCAACTGGGTCCTTCTCATTTGTGCATGTAACTTTGAGCCACCCTCAAGAGTAAAGTAAAAGATTGCTCTGGGGGAGTTTGTATCCTAAAGGAGGAATCAGGCAGGTCTGTGAACTAGAATAGCATATTAGTAGGAAAAGATGGTGCTGTTGGAGGATAGACATGGTAGGAGCCTGGGAAGGTTTCACTTGGGGGGATGGGGGTAAGGTGTTTAGTGTTTTATTTATTTTGAGAGAGAGGAGACAGAGCATATGAGTGGGGCGGGGGGGGGTGTGCAGAGAATCTCAGGCAGGCTCCACACTGCCAACACAAAGCCCCACATGGGGCTCGAACCCACGAACCATGAGATCATGACCTGAGCCAGAGTCAAGAGCCAGACGCTTAACCAGCTGAGCCACCCAGCACCCCAGGCTGTGTTAAGTTTTGCAGGATGTTGGGTTTTGACTATCACGGTAATAGGATATTCAAAGTTAATGGCTCTCTTTTTTGGGGAGGGGTGGTGAAAATGTTCTGGAACTAGTAGTAGTCATCCATGCATTTCAGTGTATTTACAGAGCTACACGAATACTCTAAAAAGCACTGAACACTTGACAAGAGTGATTTGTATGGTGTGTGAATTGCGAGCTGCAGACATTGGGGTAAAGAAGTCAGAGAGCTTGATCTCGAAGTAGGTGCGGAGAGAGGTGAGGGGAGAGAAGACCAGAGAAGTTGTCTGTAGGCAAAGCTGAGAAGGCCTGACTGAAAAGTGGACTGAATTTGCCGGCAGTGGCAATGGCAGGATTGTGTGTGTCTTGGGGGATAGCTGAAGCCCTCCAGCAGAGGGAGTGGTAGGCGTTTGGAAACCCCGTCTGGGGGCATGGCATTGTTGCCGACGGTGACCTGTTTAAGTGTCACGTTGATTCACATACCAGTGGGCTGCTGTGCCGGCCATAGGCGGGGACCCCAGGCGTAGATGTTCCTGACTGCCCTCCTGCTTAGTTGTGATGCCAGCAGCTGTTTGCAGGGGCTCTGGGTGAACAGAGCCCCCCTCCTATCTCAGTGGATCCTTGAGAAGGGAGTGAGTCTCAGTGATAGTCTCTGCCCGCCAGCCCAAGAACCTGGAACTGGGCTTTGAAGGGAACATTGCACATCGGTCTGTCTGAAAGCCAGGTCCCTTCTTGATGCACTTAACATGAGATAAGCTACATTCCCGAGTGTCCCCAGATGCTTTCCTGTGGCCTTCTGCCCCACCTGCAGAGCTTTGGTCCTTCACTGGGCTGTGTTCCTCAGATGAGAAAATGTATGTGTCCTCCACAGTGGGTTCCAGGCTTGGCGACCTGTGGCTCTGATCTCTGCTGCTTACCCTGAAGTTTGGCCTCAGCCGGATGCCATGGCAGCTGGTTGTTCTGGCCCAGGGTCTTCGGGCCCAAGTGTCAGTGAGTGGACTCTGGGATGTTTTAGGACTTTCTAGAAGAAACCTCACCCAGTGGCAGTCTTCTCCACCTCTTGTAGCTGGCAGAACTGTGAGCACATCTGACCCACAGCTGGCACTGGGTACTGAATAGGTGGATGAGAAACTTGGCTGTACTGCCTGGTCTCTAGACCACTGAGCACCAAGCAGGGTCTGGTCCAGAAGCAAGGTAGCTGCTGGGCTGCTGTGAACCTGCCACTGACTGTCCGCTTGGTTTTATGTGGATTGCCTCCTGAGGACCTTGCAGCCCCCCTATAAGGAAGGTATTGTTCTCCCCATTTTGCAGATAAGAGAATTGAGGTTCAGAGAGGTTGAGTAATTGGCCCAGGACCACAACAGCTAGCAAGAAGACAAGCTGGGAGCCAGACTAGAGCTGCAAAGCAGCCCTCTCCCTCTTCTTCCATGCTGCTTTCCAGCTCCTTAGGAGTGTAGGCTGGCTTTTTGCAGCCTTTTCCTGTGAGGAATTAGTGGATCTATCAAATGAGTTGCCTTTTTGGGAAAAGCTTTGTTACTCCATAATGTCTGACCATTGTCAGGTTTTGTGAAACCGTGTATAATAAATGAAAACCAACATTTATTGAGTACTTATTGTATCAACAGGCTCCGTGCCAGGCAATTTACAAGCATTATCTCATTAAATCCCTGTGACAGCCCTATTGTGTCCCCGTTTTACAGGTGAGAAAACTGAGGCTAAGGGGACCTGAGAACACGTTAGGAGCACACAGCTGGGATTTGTACACGGGTGATCCCAAAGCTTGCCTGTATGAGCGCACATCATCCCCTGGAGATGCCCCCCACACGAACCTTGGTAGCCTCAGTGGACCAACCAGGCAGCTCCCTTGGTCAGTCAGGGTACCCTCTGAAATTAGAGGCTTTCCCCACCTTTTCTGCAGCCATGGAGCTCTGGCAGCAGGAACGACAGGGACACCATGCCACTGTGGTTTGAAGCCTGCAGGGGTGGTTAGGGGGGCTGCCCAGTTACACTCTGAGTTTCTAAGATTCGTTATTGAGCAACAGCCACCATCCCAGGCAGAGAAGTAAGTTGAAGGGCAGTGATGGGTGGAGCAGTGGCCTTGCCCCTAGGCGTGTGGCAGCAGGTGAAGGTGTGGTCTGAGGCCGAAGGGTGTGTAAGCCGTCACCTACTGGCCTGTCAGCCTCACTGTACCTCAGACAGGGCCAGCCGTCTATCTGGGAACCTCCAGTCCCACTTGGGAAGGGCTTTGGGCCTGGACGGAGAAGTTGGGAGGCTTCCCTCCCTCCAGTGCACACAGTACTGGTCTTGACTCCTCCTTGCATGCAGCCCCGCCCCTCCCTTTGATCCCTGGACAGAGCCTTCACTGAGCTTTGCTTTCTGGTGCGAAATAACAGGGCTTATGAAATTTCCATTTACGTGTGAAATCCAAACCCACTTCCATTTTTTAATTCCTGCTAATGTCCCAGAACCAACATCCCGCCCTGCCCTTAAGGGCAAGTCCACTGGAAGCCACACAAAGCCAATTCTGGAATCCAGATTCCCCTGGCATCTCACAAGCCCCTCTTTGGCCTCTGGGTTGAGTCCTTGATCCTTGTCAGGCTGCTGAGTTGCCCTCCCTGCAGGATCCTCTGTGAGGTGGGCAGCCTGAGGATGCCATGGCTGAGAGTACCAATGTCAGGGTTTCCTGGCCACGTTCCCCTTGAGTACTAGCCGTGTCCTTGGGCTCGTCATTAAACCCTGCTGTGCCTTGGTGGCTTGAGGTCTTGGGTTAAATGGCACAGTGCCTGGCACCCAGGCTCAGTTGATACCTGATGACTGCTAGAACATCTAACTACCGACAAGTGCAAGAAAGAGTAAGGGAAACCACGGGCATGTGCCCCCTGAGCAGTGTCGGCCTGCAGTGAGCCCTGTCTGGGCCCTCTGCCCGCCCTCGTTTGTACCATCGCACACACCGGTCATTTCCGGTGTGCTGTCTGTATCGTCTTTTCTCCATAAGGGCTGTACGTTTTCCCATCCCGGCCACCTTCTTAGTCTTCTCTCCAACGACCTTACAAGTCCCCTATGCTCTTGGCTGCTCCCGGGACGGCCTTTACACTTTTCTCCTGGTGGGCTCGCCCTGGTTCCTCTGCCTAGAAAGCCCCAGTATTCCCATTGTGATCCTCCCTGCCCTCGAAATCCAGCGCAGTAGAAATCTCATCTTTTTCCAATGTCTCCGTCTCATTCCTGAGGTTTCCTTCCATTGCCTTTCTATACTTCTGGTCATGCTTAATGAGGCTCTGTGTGCCCCTGTGGTGTGTTGAATCACGCGGTCTGGGAGTAGAAAACCACCATGCTGTGCCCTGTAGAGGCTCCCCCTGCCAGGCCAGGCCAGGCCAGGCCAGACGGTGTACGGGAGCTCTGAGGGCACCGCAGGGTTCCGTGTGTCCTTGTGCTAAGCAGAGCTTAGCCGACTGTGCTGGTGTTTGAACCAGTGGAGGAACCGGTGACCAGTCCTGTTTTCCCTCACCAGTTAGTTGTCTTAAATGCTTTCCTAGTGGGCTTTTTGCTGCTGAAAGGTGGAGCCTCTTTTTCTCTTTTGTTGTGTTGATTGCAACCTTCGTGAATAGTCTTGGGAGAATTGGGGTGGCTCCAGACTCCCTGAGTTTCCTGCTGGTAGAACAAAGGTTGGGACCTCCAGTCTCAGAAGCACTCACTGGGTGAGTTAGTGGCAGTGGCTGGTCTGGGACCAGCCCCTGGTTCTGGCTCCAGGCCATAGTGTTGCTTTGGAAGCTTCTGTGCCCTGCAGCCCCTTTGTTTTAGCTGTTCTGTCCTCGGGTCTGAAGGCCAAGGGAGGGTCCCACTTGCCTCTGGGAACACCAGAGCCTCAGGTCCACCCCAGCCAGCTCTCCAAAGAGCATCTGAAGCCACCCAAAGCAGAAGCCTTTTATCAAGGTAATTTGGATTAAGTTGCCTGAGGCTGCTGCCCTGGACTTCATTACCTCAGATCTCCAGAAGCCTTGCCACTCAGCAGCCATTTGCAGGGTCCCATCTCTGGAAAATGCAACCTGCTAACCAGGTACCTGCTTTGCCCACAGGCCAAATACCTGGCCCAGATCATTGTGATGGGGGTGCAGGTGGTGGGCAGGGCCTTTGCCCGAGCCCTGCGGCAGGAGTTTGCAGGTAAGTTTGAGCCCCAGTCTTCCCCCTGGGCTGGGAGCTCCTGCCCAGGTGAGATTTTCCTCTTGTGTATGGCCCCTCACCATGGGTCCGTTGTGATTCAAGGACCCTCTTCTGGCCGAGGTTCTGGCAGTCTGGGGCATTTCTAGGGGGTGGGGGTGGGGTGGGGGTATTCTTGGACTTCCCGACATTCTCCTGAAAGGGAAAGCTGGTTGACATGAACATTAAGGCAGGAATGGGCACACTGGTTCACCTGACCACCTGTTTTTATAAGTAAAGTTTTATTGGAACACAGCCGTACCCTCTGGCTACTTTCAAGATTCGAGCAGTTGCAAACCCAGATTTTAATTGGTGCGCAGAGCCTAAAATATTTATTCTTCGATCCTTTAAGAAAAAGTTTAGTGGACCCTGATTCTAGGGTCATTGAAAGGGAAGAGGTCACCTGAGCCACCTGCTTTGCTGGCCTAGGTAACTGATGGGCAGCCAAGTCTCAACTGAGCTATTCCTGCCTCGTCATACCTGTGCGGCTTCACTCTGCTTCCCACTGTAGCCTAAAGCTCCCTAACTTGCTGTGCACTGGGGATGACAGGGCAGGGGAGAGGAGAGGAATAGAACCATCTTGTGGTTTAGGTTGGGGACCAGACCCTGCCCCTGTCCTTCAGTGGAGTAAATCTGTCCTCACTTCACCGTCCCCCACCGCCCACCCCCCCAAAAAAGCCACTCCTGGAGAAGAGATGTACCCTGTCCCTTGTGTGTGTCTTCTCCCGTGCCACCTGGCAGGCTGAGCTGCCCACTCGGAAGGCCCAAGGGGAACCTCTGGGCTGCTGAGGGCTGAGCACTCACCCATGTGTCTACATAGCCAGCCGGGCAGCAGCTGACGCTCGGGGACGTGCTGGACACCAGTCTGCAGCTGCCTCCAACCTGTCCGGCCTCAGCCTCCAGGAGGCACAGCAGATTCTCAATGTCTCCAAGCTGAGCCCCGAGGAGATCCAGAAGGTGAGGCCACTAGGCTGGCTCTGAGACAGGTCTTGCCTCAGAAGACCAGGAAGGGGGGGATCGGGCGGGAGGAGTCAGGCTACAAGGGTCTTCCAGAGTGAATGTGGCCTGGTAGAAAGGAGCAGGTGCTCGGACCCCTGAGTTACGGCAGCCGCTGTCACTCATTTGTTTTTAGGCCCAAAGCAGGCAGTGGCAGGGACAGAGCAGTTGTTGGTGGTAGACAAGCCCCTTCCCTCTGTGGGCACCTGTCCACCTCTCTGTCCCCCAGCAGTCACATGGGCATGTGGGGCGGCAGGGTTGAACCCTTTGGCTTTCCTTCTTTGTCATTTCCTAGCTCCCCCTGCCTCTGTAACCCAGAGCCTGCACACCCTCTCACCGTCTCCCCTCCCCTGCAGAACTACGAACACCTATTCAAGGTGAACGACAAATCCGTCGGTGGCTCCTTCTACCTGCAGTCCAAGGTGAGTGCTCTTTGAAGCTGGGAGGGGACAAGTCCAGGGCCCTTCTCACTGGGGGGGGGGGTCCCTCATTCCCAGGCCCTTCAGAGCTTGGCAGGCAGGCAGGTGTGCCGGGCGGTCCCTGGTGTCCCAGCCTCAAGGAGGCCCCCCCTAGGCTGCCACTCCCTCTGGCTGCCTCAGCTCCCTGGGGCCCAGCCAGTTGGGCTGAAATGTCTGGGCCCTGTGTCACTCTGACAGTGGCCCTCCCAGCAGCCATGGCTGTGAGAGAACAGGACCACTGGCTGGTGAAGAGCAGGGTATGCCCGGGCCCTGTCCCCCTGGGAATGCTGGGCACCCGTAAAGGAGGCACTTGTGTTTCCCAGGCTGTTGGCTCAGACATGCCCAGGGCTCTGCAGGGACTCGAAGCTGGAAGGACTGCAAAGGGCAGAGGCCCATCCCACTCACTGCCCTGCCTGATTCTAACTCCCTTCCAGGTGGTCCGAGCCAGGGAGCGCCTGCAGGAGGAGCTCAGAATCCAGGCTCAGGAGGACAGAGAGAAGGAGCGGATGCCCAAAACGTGACCACTTAGCCCCTCCTGCACCCTGCCCACCACCTCTAATTTATAGCTCGGTAATAAATGTCTTTTCTGCATTTCTCAGTGCACACATCCACATTCCAGAAGGCAGACTGCTCTTCCTGCCAGCAGGAAGGGGGGAAGCCAGTAGTACCGCATCCCTGTTAACATGACTTTGACACCCCACAGGGCTGGGGTGGGTGAGGTTGGCAAGAAGCCAGCCCAGCCCTGCCCTGCCTGCTGAGCTGTCACAAACTGGACAGGGCCACTCCTGCCCTCACAGCTCCAGTGCCAGGCCCCTCCTGCGATGAGCATCCCCGCCCTCAGGCCTGCCCTTGCCCTTCCCACCGGGTCCAGAGCCCCAGGCCCACGGCTCAGTCACAGGCAACCTCTCCCTGAGCTGGGTTTGACTCTAGCATCTCTGGAATCTGGGTGGAATGCTCCAGTACAGGGAGAGAGAGAAGCCTTTGCCAGACTCTCAATGGACGAGTTGTGTCTTCCCAGAACTAAGGCTCTTATCAGGGTCACAGCAGGTGGTGGTAGGACCAGGTCCTGCGTCATCTAGAATCTTCCATCTCTGCTCCCTCAGCACCTGCCCCCTCTGGCCGCTCCCTCCCTGAGGCACCCACAGGGTGGGAAGGAAGTCCCAGAACAGTGCTTCTGGGTGCTGCGTTCTGGGGGTGGGTGACCCAAACCAGGCACAGGATGGTTCCCAAGCAGGGTGGCACGGCCAAAACAGAAACTGTCTTTGCAGCTCAATTTTATTGTTTCTTTATAAACTTCCTCTCACATGGAGGAATATATTGTTATAGTCATTAGCTTATCTCTTTTTTTTTTTTAAACTCTATGCTAACAGCAATGGAGCCAAGAGGAGGAAAAACATAAGCTACGATAGAAAGGCACTTAGAACCTGTTAAAATACTGATATCCTGGAATGTGCAACAACAAACCCACAACAACAACACGTACACCAGCCCTTTCGAGCCTGGTCTATCACCGAGTCACATGCTGAGCTAATGTCACCTTCCAGTGCCCTGTTCCTCTGCTCCCTGGGCTTGAGTCTCAAACCCCTCACCCCCAACTGGGGATTTAAGGCCTGGGTCCTGGGTGGGGCCCGAAAGAAAGGAGACCAGCTCCCTCCTGCTTTGCTCACAGCCCCTTCAAGGGGCAGAGCCAGCACTGCGAGGCCCTGTCAGGGCAGGCCGGGTCAGGGTGACCCCTCTAGAACAGAAGGGCAGTCCAGGAAAGGGTGGGGTCTGCAGGCTTGCCAACCACCCCGCTGCTGGCCTGCAGCTCCCAGTCCTACAGCAGGGGAATGGAGTGCTTGGTCATGTGGCCAAGGACCGGGCAGGCCTTGGAGCCAGAAGGCCTGGCTGCCAGGCCAGCACCTCCCAGGTGGCACCAGGCCACCTCCAGGGAGGAACAGCAGGGGCTCAGGGTGGGGAAAGCATATGTGCTGCGGCCCCAAGGCCTGCTAGGGTCAGGCTGTGGGCTGTAGGGCATACGGAGCACCAGCATCCTTAGCTTATTCTGGCCCATGCCAGTGAAAGTGGGGGGCAGGGGGGTACCTCTAGGAGAGGCTCAGTTGGGAGGAGCCGAAGCCAAAGGAAACAATCATGTTTTAAATCCAGGCACCTTCCTCCAGCTTCCCCTCCCCAGGCACAGAGTTGGGGCCCTCCCATGGCCATCCCGGTTCGCTTTACCACCCCCAAGCCCGGGGCTTTCTGTCCATGGCCTCTGGAAAGGTCCCATGCCCAGCACTGGCCTGGAGCCCTACCCCTCCTGTGTGCTGGCTGTGACTTGGCACCCCCAGAATTGGGGCTGTGTCCTAGCCTGGGGTTGTCCCCAGCCAGCCTCCCATCTCCTGACACCCTGCAAGCTTCCATGGTCCCTTGTGTGGAGTGGCACTGCCCTGGGCCAATCCTGGTCCCACTTGCCCCCTGAGCCAAGCAAGGGCCCACGGTCCTGGCATCTCTCTTCCTCGCTTAGGGCTTTGCTCCCCACATCCCCAGGACTCCCTGAAAGGAGAGGGAGAAGGCCCAGTAGTGAAGGGGCAGGTGAGTGGTCAATGGGCCCCTCACTTTGGAGAGTGTCCAGCCTGGACAAGGGGCTGACCCTCCATGCTGGCTCTTTCCGGACAGGCTAGTGGTGAGGGGCAGCTGGCAGAGCGGGCCTCCCTCTCGGAGTTTGGAGGCGCCTTGTCATAGGGATAAGGTGGCTTTTTCCTGTGGCTTTGCCTGCGTCTGTCTTGCTCTCCCTCTGGAGGGTGGGCCAGAGGGAAAGGGGTCCAAGAAGCCCCCAGAGCAGGGGCCCAGAGAGCCTAGGCAGGACGGGAACATGGCTGGCAGGTGGTCATGGCGGGGAGGGGGCAGGTGACCTACCCAGGCTGGTGACTGGATGAGGGAGGATGGTGGAGGGCCAGGGCATCTGAGGACTAGGTGAAGGAGAGGGCAGGGGGTAGGCTGGAGGTGAGCGAGGCCTCAGCACCCAGGAGCACAGCTCTCCCTGGCTAGCAGGACCAGCTTCCCCTCCGGAGCCTGGGACACCACCAGTGACCTTCTAGCACCATCCTTGCTGCCCAGCTTGTCTGGGGCTGGGTCTGCCTGGGGGACACAGCCAACCAGGCCCCAGGGGCAGGAGGACATTATTGCTATTTCGCAGAAGAGTTTCCGTTCGTCGGGGGCAGGGGGCCGGGAGCTCCTAGCTGGGCCGCAGGTAGCTGTCCACCAGGCGGGTTCAGTTCACCACAGCTGGCTTGAGCAGCACGGAGCCTGGAGGGATGACCACCCAGCCCGGAGCGAGTGCCTCTGGGCTGCTGGCCGCCGAGCTGACGCCCGTGGACAGGTCCAGCACGGTGCCCGGCAGCAGGGGGAGTCCGTCAGGGCTTGGCCGGGAGCGGCTGTTCTCAGTCCTCTCGAGGGGTGTCTTGCGGCCCTCCACACCCAGAGACCTGGCTGGCACTGCCACGCGCCCCTTCTCCCCCTCGGCCTTGCCGCCAGCGGAGCCAGCGAGGAGGGAGACCACAGGCAGGCCCAGTCCACCAGCCCCAAAGGGTGAGGGCAGCAGCGGGTTCTTGGCCAGATTGAGGGGCAAGACGGGGCCCGGCAGCCCGGGGCCCATGCCCCCTGCACCCCCACCGCCCCCGCTATTGCCACACGCCAGGGCGCTGAGGTCAAGGGGGCCGGGGGCCAGGGGCAGGGGCAGGCCAGGCAGGCCGGGGCCTCCAAAAAGGGCAGCAGGGTTGGGGATGATGATCTGGGCTCCGCTGACATAGGGGCCGCCATCGGGGGTGGGCAGCGGTGGCTTGGGGGGCGGGCGCAGTTGCAGGAGCTCTTGCTGCTCATGAGACACGAAGTGGCCGTGGGCCTTGATGTGCTTGCGCAGCGAGCTGGGGTCCGTGTAGCGCTTGTGGCAGCCGGGCATCTTGCAGTAGTAGGGCTTGTCCACGTAGTGGGTGCGCGTATGCTTGAAGCGGTCGCTCGAGTTGGAGTAGCGCTTGTTGCAGCCCTCGTAGGGACACACGTAGGGCTTCTCACCTGCAGGGCAGTGCCGGCGTGAGGGGCCTCTCCCCAGCCCAGCCTCCGCACTCCCCCCCGCTCCCCCCGGCCCCAGAGAGCTCCCGGAGAGTGGGGACTCTCTGACGTGGGCGGTGGCGTCCCTGGCACCTGGCACGAGATCTCTTCCCAGCTGGGGGCAGCAGGGCACAGGCGCTGAGCAGCCGGCCTGGTCCCTGGTCACACCCCAGCCCTGCCTGTGGCCTGGTGGCGTGCCCTCGGCCTCGGTCCCGTGCTTCAAATTGTGGGTGACAGCGACCACCTCCACCGGCAGGACCACACATTTGCTTCCACACTTCCAGGAAGACCCTGCTGGGACGTGGCCCACCGTGAGCGCTGCAGGAAAGCTCGCCGGGCTGTGTTCCGGCTCTGGCTCCGGAAAATGCCTCCACATTTACTAAACGTTGGTCGGGGAGCCACTTCTAGGCTCTGAGCCTTTGCAGTGTGGCCGGCCCCAACCAAGCTGTGCTGTGAGCATAAAACACACGGGGTTGGGGGGGAGGGAATACACACCAGATTGTGATTCCACAGACTTCGTGCAAAATCTAATGTCTCATTGACAGTCTTTTAATATATCGGGTTTGAGAAAATACATCATTGCAATTCATTTCTTTCCTTTGTACCTTGTGTAATGCGGCAATGAGGATGGGTTTTTTTGGTGGTTGGGAAATTTAAAGTCAGGTATGTGGGCGTGTCACCAGGCTGGCCCCACCGTGTGCTTGGGCAGAGCCAGGAGGAGGCACACGCCGCCTCACAAGGCCTCACAAACAACGGTGCTGAGTGCCTCTGAGTGCGGCGCCTGGAGATGTGTCTGTGCCCCAAGGGCGGATGCAGAGGGGACCCGCGGGAGAGGCTTCGCCCAGAAGTGGCACTCGCAAAGCGACAACTGCACAGTGAGATGCGTCCCTCACCCCTTGACTGCCCCGGGGCCAGCCCTCCAGCCCAGCCACTCACCCGTGTGCGACCGGTTGTGGATCTTCAGGTTCTCCAGGCGCGAGAAGCTCTTGCTGCAGGTGGGGCAGCGGTGTGGCTTCTCGTTGGTGTGCGTGCGGATGTGGATGAGCATCTTGTACCTGCTCCAGGGAGGTCACGGTGCGGGGGGGGGGGGAACCTCGACTCAGTTCGCGGGACTCCGGAGCCCCTCTCCCCCGGCCCCCCTCTCGCCCTCCCTCACCTGGCGTTGAAGCCGCGGCCGTGGCGGGCACAGCCCTCCCAGTGACAGCAGTACCCTGCGTCCTTCTCGGGCTTGACGTGGTAGTCGTTGACGTGATCCACCAGGTCCTGCAGGAGCTCGAAGAGCTGGTTACACTGCGGGGCCGGGGAAGGTTCTGAGTCTACGCGGGGCTGTGCACACTGACCCCGGTCTTCCCGGCCACCCCCCCACTCACCTTGGCCCAGCGACACACCAGCTGCTTGGGCAGGGGTAGCTCTGGTGAGAGGCACTTGTCCTTGGGGGCGGTGAGGAAGGAGGAAGCAGGCAGGTGCAGGGCCCCCCCGGAGCCCAGAGGCAGGAAGAACTGGAACGAACTGGGGACGCCATCCAGATAGCGCAGCGGCTGGAAGTCCTAGGGGGAGAGGGGAGGGACAGAGCTGGTCAGTGCACCCTGCTGGGCCAGCAGGTCCCCACCACCCCTGTCTCCTGTGGCGGGTTGTGTCCCCCATGAGGACATGTCCCAGTCCCAACCCCCTGTACCTTGGGTGTGACCTTAGTTGGAAATAGGGTCTTTGCAGATGCAGTCAAGGTCATACTGGATTGGGGGGCACTAAATCCAGTGACTGATGTCTTCATAAGAGAAAGGGGGATTTGAACACAGAGACACAACAGAGGGAAGAAGGCAAGGTGACACCAGAGGCAGAGATTGGAGTGACACAGCTACAAGGCAGGGAACGCCGGGAGCCAAGAGAAGCTGGAAAGAAGCGAGGAAGGATTCTTGCCAGAGCCTTGGGAGAGAGCACAGCCCTGTCGAGATCTCGATTTCAGGCTTTAGTTTCCACAACTGTGACAGAATAATACATTTACGTTGTTCTAAACCACCCAGTTTGTGGTCCCTTCCAGGAAACCAATACACCTCTTTCCAGAGCCCTTATGCCCTCCTCACCGGGGCGGTGGGCACTGCAGGCAGGTCCCCATTGCCCTGGCGCTCAGGGGACAGCGAGCTGCTGCCATTGGGGGAATCCAGCCCAGATGGCGGTGACAAGCTGAGGTCCACCAGAGGGGCAGCCGAAAAGCGTCCCTCTACCTTCTCGGGGAACTTGGGGTTCAGCAGGAAGCCTAAGAGAGAAACACTGTTCAGAGGTGCTGGGGCTGAGGGTCCTGTGAGTCTCCCGCCACGACCCTGGAAGCAGATGCCACCCTCACACCCCTGGACCACCCTGGGACCCCACGCATCTAGCAGCAGGCTGCACACCTGACCAATGTGGCCCGCATCACCATGAGAGTTCAGACATCAGTCAAGATAAAGAGTGGAAAGTACCCATTGAACAGGAACTTGAGGCCAGACCCCTGGCTTCCTGTCATACTGGTAGGTAGGGACCTTTCGGACTTTTCCTGGGCCCCTTCCTGATTCACTGCTCCCTTCTGGAACACCAGGCGTTGGGGCCAGGATGCCTCCAGAGCCTTACAGCTCACATGTGTAGGTCAGGTTTTCAGGGTTCAGTGGAGGCAGAGTGGGAGTCCTGAGCCCCAAGCACCCCCTGAGAAGATCTTGCTGGGTTCGGTCCCCAATCTCTACTGACCTGACCTCAGAGCCCAGGAGTTGGGTCACAGGGCCTTGTCACTACTTGTGAATCCCCTGCCCCCTGCCCCCCCCCCCCCTTACCGGCCCCTCTGTGTCCTCCCGGAGGCCTAGTTTGAATCCTGGCTCTGCTGTGCCAGCTTCATGAACTGGGCAGGTCATTTGCCTCCCCCTGGGGACAATGTCACTTCCAGAGACAAACTGCTAAGGATAAATGGACAGAGCTCTAGGCTGAAAGCTGCTAGGGGCTGTGGACATCCTGGTGGACACACCCTAGATATTCTTCCCACTGCCACGGCTTCACTGGGACCC